AACATGGACTGAACCAAGTCTGGAGTACCTGAGGATGTCTTTCTAGAGAATTGATACTTTTTCATCTATGTTGATTTTTATCATTAGTCATACAAAAACTTAAGTTTCATGAAGGAAAAACATATGAGCACAGCCCTTTGTTTACTTATAGACACATTTCTTGCCCTACAAACCAAAATAATGCCATCATCTTGGACAAGTCAGTTAGGATTCCTGACACTGGAGGATAAAGCACTGGACCGCAAGGTCAACTTGAACCACAAAGTCATCAGTTCAAAATCATTAGTTGCTCCTTGGAAACCCTATACAGGGTCGCTATGAGTCAGAACCAACTCGATGGCACTTAACGACAACAATTTAAAGATTAATCTGTATTTAATTTTGCATTTATTCTTAGTACAAATAGCTTTGAAGTTATTAGAAAATATATTCATAAAGTAATAACTTAATGAGTTTATTAATATAAATATTTTTAATTTTATAGCCTATTAAAGTTGTTCAATACAATATCAATACAGAAGAATTATATTCCTACCTGAAGGAATTCATCCACATACTCTATTTCAGGTAAAATAGAATTACGTGTGTGTGTGTGTGTGTGTGTGTGTGTGTGTGTGTGTGTGTGTGGTGGGGTTTGTTTTTTATCGCTTTGTTTTGTTTTTAACTTTTGTGATTAGGTAGATGCTCTTAATGCTAATACTTGTTTTTTCCTAATACCAGTCATAGTGATACTTGGTTTTATTAACATCTAATGCTCCTTGGAAACCCTAAACAGGGTTGCTATGGGTCAGAATCAACAACAAATACAAAAAAGTTAAGTTGACTTCTTTTGCCATTTGTACTTGGTTATCTTCAACCTTTTAAGAAATATATTTGGAAGACTTGAAAACTGGGACACATAAGGAAATATTCAAAACAAAAAGTTCATTAGTAAAAGGGGTTGGAAAATTAAATTATTGTACATCTGTTCAGTGGAACACAATGTAGTTATTTTTTAAAAAAAGTTCTGTATATGTAGTAATATGGGAAACATGTCTTAGATATATGGTTAAGTGAAAACAAGTTACAAAACAACATCAATATGACTGTTCCAATTAAAATATAAACAGCTACAAAAATACAACATTTACAAAGTACTATCAGTTGTAGTTTCTGGGTAGAAGGATTATAAAGTAGCTGCCTTGTCCAAGTTAAAAATTTCTTAATATTGGCAGCTTTGTGAGTATTACTTTTGTAACTTAAAAAAGGCTTTGTAATGGCTCAGGTTGATAACCCTAGTAAGGTGTAATTATAGTTTTCTAAGATAAATATGAGTTATATATATAAAGTTCCTAGCACAGTGCATGGCACATAGCAAGAGGTCAGTCATGTTGTTACCTTTTGAGGTTAAAAAGCAAAGATGTCTTTTTGTTATAAAACATCTTGAGCTAAGGTAGTGCATTTTCTCTGTTCTTACCGAATTACATTATTTACCAAAATGCATTTTGTAACTTTTCAAAATTGTCCACTTTTTCAGACATCTGTTGGTGAATCCCGGAGACCGCCGAGTTGTGGTGATTGAGTCGGTGCTATGTCCCTCCCACTTCCGAGAGACACTTGCTCGTGTTCTTTTCAAATATTTTGAGGTACCTATTTTTAGATCAAATAAATAGATGGTTTCAGAAGTAGAAAGAAAAGCAATAAAATTCTTTCTGCTTTTAGGGAGTCTTTTCTCTGTCTTTATAGACACTCAAAGCTTAAACATAAGGGCACTCACTTTATGTACTTTATTACATATACTGTACAATGTATCTGGGGAACCAGATGACCAAGTAACCTGAAATCTGTTCAGATTGGCAATTGTCTTTCTCTGTGTGGTTATTCCATCTAACACTGAGCAATTTCTTTTTGGTATTTATGTAATTACTTACGTTAATGTAGGTTTTTCTGTTGCATGCATTTTTCAGACTTAAGAGGTATGTTCCATGCTGTGACATTCATTTATGGTGGGTTTCTTCCAGGTCATTCTGCTTCCATTGTTTACTTATGTTGACTGTTCTGAATTTTTTAATATTGTTGTTATACGTCATTGAGTCAATTGCAACTCATACTGTCTTTCTTTGAAAAAAAAAAAAAAGACACCAACCATCGCTGTCATCACCCTCTCAGCTAGATGCAATAATTCACTGTAGTGGCCACACAGAACTCAGACACCATGCTCACAGTTGTTGTTGTTGTTATGTGCCGTGGAGTCGATTCCGACTCATAGCGACCCTATACAGGGTTTCGAAGCTGTAAATCTTTATGGGAGCAGAACGCCTCATCTTTCTCCCACGGAACAGCTGGTAGTTTTGAACTGCTGACCGTGAGGTTCGCAGCCCGATTCGTAACCACTACCCTACCAGAGCTCCACAGTTAGGATCAGAAAATGTTCAGGACGTAGTTCTTCTAGCCAGGACAATTTCTCCTCAGATGTGCCCAGAGGCAGGCTTCTGTCTGACCCTGGTAATGGTAAAGAGTTCTTTTACACCTGCTGATGAATACCCATGTGGTACACCACTCCACCATAAGCCTCAGCCTAAAGGCACTAGGCTCTAGCTCCCCTAATTAAGTTCCTGGAGGCATCCCAATCTGCCCAAAGTAAGCCTCCTGCCCAAAGTCACTCAATTGTATTTGCTGCATGGACTGAGGAGCTCACTGCCCTGCCTTATGCTCTGGCTCTTGGTTCTGCTGCTGCTGCTCCTCTGCTCTTCCTCTGGTGTCATAGCTTTCTGACCCTGGGCCGAGGAGTCTCAATGCACAGGGACCTCAGGGTCCAAAGGATGCACTTCACTCCTGGCTCTTTTTCTTTGGTAATAATAAGAATCCCCCCTCCTGCTTCTGAGATGGCGTCTTTATATCCAGCAGGATAGCAAAACTTTGTTAACAATCTTTACAACTGAGTCATATGATCCATCTGCATCTTCTTCCACCTTCTCTTACCTAGACCCATCAGGAAAAGTCATTTGGTGGGAGTTTACAAAAACTGGCTAGAGTCCTGGTGTGGCACTGTAGGATCAGCACTGGACTGTGAACCACAGGTTGGCAGTTCAAACCTATGAGCTGCTCCCTGGAGACCCGATACAGGGTCACTGCGTCAGAACTGACTTAGAGACACTTTGCAACAACATGGCTAGAAGAAACATTAAATAATTCACTGCCCCACAGCGGCCCTTTAGGACCGAGTAGAACTCCTTCATAGTTTCTTAGGCTATAATCTTTATGCGAGTAGATTGGCTTAATGGAAACAGTGCAACTGGTGAGTTTGAATTGCTGACCTTTTGATTAGCACCCAAGTGCTTAACCACTGTACCACCAGGGATCATTATATTATTTTAACTTTCATTTTATAGGAGTGAAGACTTATAAGGACTAATAATATGATTTAATATTATTATATTTAAAATAGGGCCCTGGTCAAAAGCCTGCCTGCATGCCTAGTGCAGTCAGCAGAATCTTTTTCATGATTAAGAAACAGGAGACCACTTGAATGAAAACAAATAATTTGCTGATAGGACTGTTTCAGTCTCTTCCATAACAACACAAACCAGCTATAGAAATCAATTACTATTTGAGGATCAATAGTAGCATACCGAGTCTAGGACAGAATCACAGCTCTGAAGACTGACCATGCACTGAAAACCCAAACCAAACCCCTGCCATCAAGTTGATTCTAACTCATAGCAACCCTGTATGACGGTAGAATTGATCCATTGACCCATTGGGTTTCCAAGGGTTTCTGTATAAAAGCAGACTGTCACATCTTTTTCCCACAGGTCGGCTGGTGTGTTCCAACCACCAACTTTTGGTTAGCAACTGAACATTTAGCTTCTATGTCACCAGAAACTTGCTAAAAAGGGCATTTAACCCAGGAAATCTCATTTTGAACTTAGCAAAGTTAACACACATTTGGAGTCCCAAATGTTATGTCAGCAGGTCTCCTAGGTGGTACAAGAAGTTGGCTCTCAGCCACTAACCAAAATGTAGGCAGTTTAAACCCACCAAGTGGTACCTAGGGATCTGTTTTTGTAAAGATTCCAGCCAAGGGAACCTCATGGAACACAATTCTACTCTAATATGGGGGTCACTATGAGTTGAAATCTATTTGAGGGTACTTAACAACAACAACAATAAGGGTTGTTGTTGTTAAGTGCCGTCAAGTCAGTTCTGACTCATAGCAGCCCTATAAAGGGTTTCCGAGGAGTGACTGGTGAGTTTGAACCACTGACATTGTGGTTCAAACCGACCTTGCAATTGAGTGCTTATCCTGCAGTGCCACACCAGAAGTCCATAGTAAGGGTTAGGAATGGAAAACCAGAATTGCTTTCTTGTGTTTTTGTTTGTTGGCCTATTAAATCAGTGCTGCAGAGGCTGGGAAAGCTTAGAGAGGGGTCAACCCCTGTAGTCTTTGTTCCTATCTTGCCATGCATAGCAAAACACGCTTGGAATTGCTCAGTGATGGCTCCATTGACATCAAAGAAATCCCAGCAGAAAGGAATGGATTGTACATGAATAAACATTCACTCTTCACCAAGATGTTCAAAATATGAATGATTAGCATTTAAAGCAAGATAAATGTCCAGAGTTATAGCAAATGAGTGCATGTGTCATTTATGTTAATAAACTATTGTACATTTGAAAGGTAGACTTTTCCTTAGCTCTATAAATAAAAAGGTAAGTGAGTAATGAGAATAAACCAAGTACATTGACTACCCAAAATGGGAGGGCTACAAAGGCAAGAAGTAACTGGCTTACAAGCTTTCAAGAGGGAGCCTAGATCCAGAGGACATTACTCCACTGAGTAATGTCCAATCTGTCGGGGACAGGGCTGATGAAAGGAGATGGGGATAGCACTCATGTGGCATAATAGTGAATAATTGCTATCAAGACTGATTATGAGGGTTGGAAATGTAAAGGTGGATGTTTTGTAGCAAAAGGAGGGGAGTGATTAACTTTGTAGTCCAGGAGCAGAGGTCCCTGGGACCATCAAGGGAGAAGAGCGGAATGCGGGACCTTACACAGAGAAGCAGTGGTGCCAGAGATGGAAGCAGAGGTGATGTGGAGAGATGGAGTGGCTGGGGACTCTAGACCCAGAGAGGAAGAGGGATTAGGTGCTGACGACCAGGGGGGCAGGTTTGCAGGGTATACCCTTTGGTTGGTTGATGATGCATGGAGGGATTGTAACCATGGCAATGAAAGGATATATACAATAGGGTGAGTGTAAAGCCAATGTTCTCCTGTGTAAACTATCACATAATTCACAATAAACCATTTTATAAAAAGAATAAACCAAGTGATAATCAAACCATATCCAGATTATTAGTTCATCTTCTAGCCTGTTAATGCTTTGCTTGAGATTGCTAAAATCTTTTATTTAGATGTACTAAATTTAAGCTTGCAATTTAATACCAAGTTGGCAGTTTCACTTCTCATGTTTTACTCTTTGAAATTAGGAAGCAAAGTAAAATAGTTTTGTAAGCTTTGATTATGTTTATAGTTAGTGTATTATTGCTGTTAAATGCCATGAATTCAGTTCCTACTCATAGAGACCCTGTATAGGATTTCAAAGGAGCAGCTGGTGAATTTGATCTGCCGACCTTGTGGTTCACAGTCTGTTGCTGATCCACAGCACCACACCTGAAGTCTATAGTTAGTATGAGGGGGCATCAAAAAATTAATGGGCTTTAAAAAGATAATGGAATGTGTATATAGATTATTGTTATAGAGAGAGTAATATAATAAATTATATATTACATATAATTATATAAAAACATAAGTTATGTTTATGATTTGTATTAAAATAAAGATGATATAAAATAGAGCCCTGGTGTGGTGCTGTAGGTTAAGCACTGAACTGGTAACCACAAGGTTGACAGTTCTAACCCACCAGCTACTCCTGGAAACTCTACAGGGTCGTTATGATTTGAAACTGACTTTACAGCACACAATTAAAACAACATATTTTCAATAAGGCTAGAATCTTAATTTAAATTTTTAAAAATTTCGATCTTGAGAATTTATGATTTTTCTTCAAGAAAAATGGAAACTTTATATGAAATGCATATAATATATAAGAAATTAAGCATAAATAAATGTGTTCTCATACATTTTACTGAATTCAAAATATGCCAGTACCATTTAACCAAAACTACAAGGTCTTTATGAATTAAGGAACTCTTAATATTTGTAAGTTATAGTGTGATAGGTACATAGAGGCAGGTTGCATATCTCCCTATACTTATTAATGACATATCTTCAGGATTTTCTGTAAATTACATTTGTTTGCAATAGAAGTACAAAACAAAAATAAGACAAGAAGTCATCTGCTCTTACTTGACTAAAACAGATGATTCTCTATTCTTGTGGTGCAAATGGGCTCTACTACTAGCCCATAGGAGTCCTGGTGTGATGCTGCAGGATAAGCACTGTACTGCTCACCATAAGATCAGTAGTTCAAACCCACCAGTCACTCCTTGGAAACCCTATACAGGGTCGCTATGAGTCGGAAATGACTCGACCGTACTTACCAACAAGTAGATATAGCAGGTTCTGGTCTCATACAAGAAAAGAATACTAACACAGTACACCTAAAATTCTTTGTTGTTCTTGTCAATAAATCAATTCCAACTCACAGTGACCCTATATCTGCAGAGATTAACTGCTCCATAGAGTTTGCAAGGCTGAGACCTTTCGGAAGCAGATCTCCAGGCCTGTCTTCTGAGGCAGCTTTGAACTGCCAACCTTTGGGCAAGTTGTTGTTTTGTATGCTGTCAAGTCAGTTCCAAATCATAGCGACCCTGTATAGGATTTCCAGTTTTTTCTATGGTTTTGAACCATAGATCTTATGGCTCAAACTGACTTTGAGGTATAGCACATTATCCTAAGGGAAATAACCATTATTTTGTCTGCCATTTGATTTAATATTTTGATTAAATGTTAGCCTTATATTTACCAAATCACCAGATCTGATAAATTCTCACTGAAAAATGTCACAGAATAGCTAAAGGATGTTTCTAGTTTTGGTCTTCAATTTAATTTGACTTCTGTATTATAATGTTCTTATTACAGATCTTGTGAATAAAGACAATCAAAAAGTATTTTTCTATAGTTTCATTTTGATGGTAAGGGAATTTTTTTTTTTTTTTTTTTTTTTAATTTAAAATCTTTCTCTGAATGTGTTTCTGGATCTCTTTTCTTATTCCTTTCTGTTTTCCCCTCAAAAAGGGATAGAGCAAATAATTTGTAATTGTCATTTCAGAATGAAACAATTTAGAGAGGCTTTAAATATATTTATTAGAGTATTATTTTTTTGCATAAATTCAAATAAATCTATAAGCATATTCTTTAATATGGTACCATATCATGGAATAGACATTGTAATATAAATAGATGTTTTACCATGAATATGTTCAAATATATAACATTTGAAATATATGAAACACCTTCAAATCCTGATACTCATTTGGTTTTGTTTTTTGTTGCTGTTGTTTCTAGGTTCCATCTGTCTTGTTTGCTCCATGTCATCTAATGGCTCTTCTGACGCTTGGGATTAACTCTGCCATGGTCCTGGATTGTGGATATAGAGAAAGCCTGGTGTTACCTGTATCTTTTTTGTCCATCAGACAATTCTGCAGTTTTTATTCTATTTTAACTAAGATAATTCCACGTATTACAATAGTAGTTTTTATTGCAGTAAACTATTTTGGATTACCATGTACAAATATCATTTACCTTGTGGAAACTGTTCACAGGATTGTGAGACCTAACATTAGTTATTGTAGAAATTATCATGATTTGTACTCGTTATAGACTCTGGGATCAGACCTCATAAATATTGTGTGTAGTTGTTAGAGGAACATCAGCGAATTAGGATGTGCTAAAGAAGTTGACCAGTACAGTCAAATTCAAAAGAAAAGATCATATAAAAAGTAAGTGGAGAAATTAAAATGAGAATGTTTAATCAAGAAAAGTTAAAACTCAGTGAAAAGGAGACTGGGATTAATCATTGCATGAAGTCCTCCCCATATCCTCTTGCAAGACTCTTTCCCATAATAAACCTTTGCTTGTGTGGGAAAACATCAGAAAAACCTCAATGACAACCTAAAATCTGCCATCAAATAGCTGAGGGCTCACTGTGGAGAAGTGAATACCTATTTTTCTCTCTATATCCAGCACATATCATAGAGGCAGAAATGACATGGGCTTTATGAGCCTGGATTATGGAATGTAATACGTAAATGTAAATCTTAGCAATGCTTTTCCCTAGTTGCATGACACTGGCTTAACCTCTGTGGCATCAGCTTTCTCATATATAAAATAGAAATTTTAATCATCTCACCTCATAGGAGTGCTGAGTGGTTAAGGTAATACAGGTAAAGTGTTTAACAGAATACCTGTAATGTAGTAACTTGTGCAGTAAGTGTTACAATTTTTATATCATTCACTAATAGAACTTCCCAATAATTCATTACTGACAATAAGCATTCTTTATCATTAGAAGTGTTTAAGCAGAGTGTAGGTCATTGTGAGCCCTGGTTTGGCACTGTAGAATAAGTACTGGACTCATAACCACAAGGTCAGCAGTTCAAACCCACCAGTTGTTCTCAGAAACCCTATACAGGGTCACTGTGAGTTGGAACCAGCTAAATGGCATAAAACAACAACAACAACAAAAATAGGTCATTGTCTCTTAGAAGTGTTATAGTGACTTTCACTGAAAAGGAGATTGAACATGATGAATGTTAAGTCTCTTGGATTTTAAGATTCTATGTATGTATTTCATTAATTAGAAGGAATATTCTTAGGGCAAGTCATCAAGAATCATTAGTTCCTAAGGAACTAAAAGCAATTGATTTTTAATGTCAAGAACTTTATATTTAATTCTGACAATAGTCCTTCAGTAAAGACATTATTCTTATTAAGTGAGAAAATTCAAAGGTGGGATGCATAGTTAACCCAAGATCGTATAAGAATGTAGTCAGGATTAGATCCCATGTTTTTTTTCTAAAATCAGTGCTCTTACAAGTACGCTTTTTTATCCTTCTCATTTTATAAATATACTTTATAGAACATCAACAAAACAGTATGTTAAAACAAAGTGGTTATTGTTGTTAAATGCCTTGGCGTTGGTTCCAACTCATAGTGACCCTGTCTGTGGTTTCCGAGCCTGTGAGTCTTTGCAAAAGCAAAAAACCTCACCTTTCTCCCTCGAAGAAGCTGGTAAGCTCAAACCACCCACCTTGCAATTTGCATTCCAGTGCTTATACTACAGAGCCACCATACTCCTTTAGAAAGTTTATGGAAATTTTCCATTCCAGGACTTTTTGAAGTTCCCTTATAACATATGGGCCATATATGTAATTTTTAAATTTCTAAGAACCATGCTTAAACTAAACTTGAAAGAGAGTTTTTAATAGCCTCATATGATTTGTGGCAACTTCATTGCATATCCCAGCTCTAATTAATGAATTATATGTGTATATTTTTTAACCTGTTTTCCTTTAGATGATATTCTTTTGATTTTTTCAATAATTTATAAATAACAATTTGCCTCCACAGCTGACTTAAAGCTGTACTGAAAAAAGTGAGGAAAATGCCAACGAGATGGCATGTTATCTCCTACATTGTAATAACCTTGACTACCCTATAGATATATGAAGGCATCCCAGTACTGAATTGTTGGGGAGCACTTCCCCTAGGAGGAAAAGCTCTTCACAAGTAAGTTTCTTGTATTTAACTCATTCTCTTCACTTAGTCCACAAACACAGATTTTTTTTTTTTTTTTTTCTAATGTGGTCAATAGAAGGTTTGTAGGAAACCCTATAAAGAGTTGCTATGAATTGGAACTGACTCAACAGCACTTAACAACAATATGGACATTTAATTTTATTCCATTTTCCATTATCCTTGAGTGTATTCATGTTTTAAGGATAGAAAATTTTTACTTAAAGCATCATAATCTATTATTTAGTAAGTATCAGGTTAAGAATAGAGTTTATCAATTACAATAATTTCATTCCAGTAATTTTTTTTTCCTAATTTAAACTTTAGGGAATTGGAAGCTCAACTGTTGGAACAATGTACTGTTGATACAAGCGCTGCTAAAGAACAGAGCCTTCCCTCAGTGATGGGTAAAATCACTTAAGTAGTTTATAGTTTTCTTCACCTTAATTTTATTCTTTACTTCAATGCATGTTTGTTCTTTAATTAAACTGCTACTTTTGTGAAGTCACCATTTGGTGAGGTCACCAAATCCAGTAACTTGATTTCAGTCATCCTTTCTCGAACTTTTGACATTATAGATTACAAATTGGGCTACTAACCTCAAGGTCAGCAGTTGGAAACTACCAGCTGTTTTGTGGGAGAAAGATGAGGCTTTCTGCTCCCATAAAATTTCAGCCTCAGAAACCCTATAACAGAGTAGCTATGAGTTGGAGCCAACTCCACAGCACACCACCACCACAATGCGTTTCTTTAAATTCTTTTCTTCCCTTGGCTTTCTGAACTCTCTTGCTTTCTCTTGCTTTGTTATTTCTCTTGAGTATTTCTTCTCATGTTCCTCCGTGTGCTCTTTGCTTCTCTGCTGATGTTTCCTAGAGATTTCTTCCTATTGAATTTTAAAGGTGAATTCATCAACTTCTATGATTTCACCTACACTTGCATACTGTTGCATCTCAAATGTCTCACTGGGCCTTATCCTTTCTTCTAAATTTGACAGCATGTCACCCTATGCTGTCACACCTCTGACTTAAGACTTCCAGAAGTGAATGCATTATCTCTTCCCCAAAATTTATATCAACTAAATCATTTTTAGCTAAAGATACCAATATCTTCATAATCTCTTATTTTAGGAAACAGTGTGGAGGATGAAAAGGTGAAAGCATCAAATACTTCTATTTCTCACTCAAATCTCTTTCAAATTTTAATTCTCTTTGCCACCTTCCACACTCCTACATATCTAAAAATAAAGACATAGTTTAAGTTTTATTATTGTTTACTTGGGTTACTAAAAGAGTCTACTTATTTTTTGCTCCCTCTCTGAATCTGTTGCCGGGGATAACGTTCCATATAATGAATATGATTACATTGCTCTTTTGTTTAAGAATTTTTTTGGCACCTTTAAGTTAAAATACAAATGACCCATTTGATATACTTTAGTCTGTTTTTTATACAGGTATTCCGGACTTCTGAGTTCTGAGTTTTATTCCAATGACTCCATAGTAAATCACTTCTGACATAAGTTGAATATCTCAATGTCTTGTTTAGGTTTCATTGTTTTTGCCTTTTATATTCAGTATACTTATAAATTCAGTGTAATTGTCTTTGGGAGTTGTCATGT